CCAAGGTCAGCCTTAAATTCAAATCTAGACCAAGGTCAGCCTTAAATTCAAATCTAGACCAAGGTCAGCCTTAAATTCAAATCTAAACCAAGGTCAGCCTTAAATTCCAGCCAAGTTCACTCGGGGCACCTGCAGTGGGTTTGGTTCCTGAGTTTTCCATGAAGAGAAATTCCAGACTAACCAAGAGGACGGAAGCCCAGCTTGTTCCCTGTTGTCATTCCCACAGGAGATCATTCCCTGGGAGATGACAGTGCTGTGGCACCCTCGGGATGGTGTCCAAGTGACCTGGGAGAGCCGCCAGCCCGGACACACCTCGGGATAAGGGACCCCCTGATCCCACCTGGAAGCAGCTCCAGAGCTCCAGCAGGCATTGGGAGGGAGGGCAGAGGAGGGGAAGCAATCAGGGTGTGAAGACATTAAATTAAACTTTTCCTGTGCCTTGAGCTTGGATCTGATCTTTTCCTCTCTGCTGCTTAATCAAATGCTGCATCCAAATAAATGAATAAAAATTCCCAGAGGGAATACTCACGGCACAGGTGCAGAGATGTTCTCCCTGAAGGCAACTTTGGGCTTCCCCATGGTGCAAGGACAACCATATTCCCTCTCCATTCGCTGCAGGAAAAAAACCCCAGAGTTGTTCCATCAGAGCAATTCTTTGGAAATTATTGTATTAATTTAATCAGGGTGAAACGGGTTTTTCACTGATTTTTGGGGGCTTTTTGTTGTTTTTTTTTTAATGTTATAAATTGTTCACTGTCATTCTGCATCCAATTTTGTTTAAGATCTACACAGGAAAAGGGAACAGCATTAATTTTTCTATTAAAGTTTAAGTTTTTCAAGACAAAAGCATCTTTTCTTCATTCTGTCAACATTTTAGACACATCTCTTGTGTGAATTAAAATATAGACATCAACTGGAATGAGACTAATCACTGTAAGTAACTATTCCCTTCTCCCTGCATCAGCTTTTATATGAAATGATGCATTTAAAACCACAGAAACACAGTATTTTTCTGTAGTAATTAATTATTATTATTAATTATTAATTCATTATAAGCAAAGGCTGCCAAAGCAAAGTGTAGTGTTTGATACATTTTTATGGATTTGAACTGAAAAAGTGAAAATATCCCAGACAGAAGTTTCCTTTAAATAGTTTAGAATCCTTCAAAATGGAACCACTGGAGAGAGAAAGAACCTGCAGAAGTTGATTTACAGTTAAACTCTTCCCAAAGCAGCTGGAAAGAAGAAAGAGGAGGAGGAAAAGGAAGGAGAATTCATGGGTGGAAAACCAGTGAAAAGCAGAGTCCATGGAATCTGCTTTCCCAATTACCTGGGCATAGATTTCCAGGTGCAGCTCCCCCATCCCAGAAACGATGGTCTCCTTGCTCTCATCATCAAAGTGGACTCTAAAAGTGGGATCTTCCCTCGTGAAGCGGTTCAGGCCTTTGGAAAACTTGTCAAAGTCGTTCTGAAATGCAATTAAATCCATGAGATTGGCTCAAATTCCAGAAATTATCCAAGAAAAGGCCTCGACTTTTCCTATCAACTGCTGAGCACTTCTGCTCTCTGAGGTGATTTTCTGAAACACTTCTAGCTGTGTTTATTAATGTATTAATTGTGATTTAATTTCAAGTTCAGGTCAAAGAAATGCTCCTTATTTATGGCTGAGTGACCCCATGCAGCCCAGCCACGTGCTGGGTTATCCAGAGATATAATCTTAGGGATTGTGGATAAAACACTTTCAAACAGTGCTTGTTTTAGCCTGTTCCTTATTTAAGCTGCATAAAATCCTAAAGAGCAGCAAAGGGAGGGGAAGGCAGGGGGAGATGTGGATCTCCAGGTCCTACCTTGTTGGAAGGCTTCATGGCCACGGAAATGACGGGATCAGGGACGTGGATGGATTCCTGCAGTGGCCACCAAGGAAGAGGTGATGATTACAAACTTTCCCAGCAAAATCCTGGTAAATCCCAGTGCCTGAGGCCCTCAGGGAAAGGGGAACTCACCATGGAGATGGCAGTGCTGGTTTTATCAGTGAAGGTGTCCCCGCTGGCACAGTCAATCCCAAACAGGGCACAGATGTCTCCAGCATAAACTTCACTGACATCCTGGGGAAAGAAAAGTTTCCTCTTTAGATAACACTGAGAGATAAGAGAGGCTGTGGCTGCCCCATCCCTGGAAGTGTCCAAGACCAGGCTGGACAGGGCCTGGAGCAACCTGGGATCATGGAAGGTGTCCCTGCCCATGGCAGAGGGTGGCACTGGATGGGCTTTAAGATCCTTCCAACCCAAACCACTCTGGGATTTCTCCTAGGATTCCATAACCTACAAACTACACCTGGTTTACAGAAGACACATAAATACATTCTGTGTTTTAAAGCTCGACATTAAGCTCCTCTAAAATTCCAGCTGGGATAAAATGCTCTGTAAATCTTCCACCTCTTTATTCCAAGGACAAAAGGGAGAGCTCAGCTTGGATGCCAACTTGTTGTAGTTGAAGGATGTGAAGCAAATAATGTGCTGACCCACTGCAGGAATGTCAGGACTGCCTGGAACAGATGGCTCAGAGTCCATCCCTTGGGATCACTCACCTCCATGTTGTCCGAGTGCATCCGGACGAGCCTCTGCACTCTCACCCTCTTCCCAGTCCTGGTGTTGTAGATGTAATCAGACTTCTTCAGCATCCCCTGGTAAACTCTGATGTAGGTTAACTGCCCAAATTTACCAGCCTGGAAGCAAAAAAATCACATATGATCCTCGTGGGAACCAAGAGCACTGTTACTGAAAGCATCACCTGCACTGACCGAGTGTTTCTGGTTTGAATTTCCACACTAGAAATGTAACTGAAACGTTTTTTTAAGAGTCTCAGCTTTCCCTTGGCTCTGGGATGGAATTTGGCATTTCCTGGCAATTTTCTGAACTCGTTTTATCACTTCCAAACCTTCCTAACAGAGACACACATTGACATGCAACATGACATCTCAAGTGCTGCTCTTTAGGCAGAAATAACTTTCCTTAAAATTGTGCATTTTATCCTCTCCAAATCTCTCCTGTTTCATTGTTTTCAAATCCAGGATTTTTCTCTGAAAGTATCTGAAATAACCCATGAAGCCCCCAAATGTTTAAGTTTTAACTAAGAAAACCATGAAATATTTGAGGGACATGACCCATTCTAAACTTCCAAATTGGCAGTGTTGGACACACTGGTGGATTTTATGGTGGGAACCAGTTTTTTAAAGGTTAAGTTTAAACTGAATTTAAATATAAACTGATTTTAAAGCTTGCTCTACGTAACTTTGGCAGCCCCATCTGTTTGGATTCACTCTGTGAGTCGTTAGGAAGGAACTCAGTGGACTCACCTCCAGTTTGAAGGCAAGGCCGATGAAAGGGTGGGAATCATCACGAGCTGAGTTCAACAGGAACTTGGATTCATCCTCAGAATCCCTTAAAAACAGGGATGGAGAGGGAGGTGAGGTTATGAGGCAACATGGAAGCCTCCTCTGAGCATCTGCTGGCTCTTTACTGGCTTTAATGTTGGGGTTCACACCTAATTGTTGGACTTCTCTCCCAGGGAACAAGGGACAGGACCAGAGGGAACAGCCTCAAGCTGTGCCAGGGCAGGGTCAGGTTGGACATGAGGAGGAATTTCTTCCTGGAAAGGGTGGTCAGGCACTGGAAGGGGCTGAAGGCTTGAAGGGCTGCCATCATTTCTGATGAACTACCTCATAATCATTTTCCACATTTAACATTTAATGTGTTAATAACACCAGTAATAAAGGGTAACCCTCAGATGAAAGGAGCTCTCTTAGTTTTGGGAGTTTGTGCCAAATTCTGGTGCCATTATTTAATACAAATGGTAAATGCTCCTGGATCTTGTTACTGATGTTTCCTGTTACGTATTAAACTGCTTTGAAACTATTCCATAGAATCATGGAATGGTTTGGGTTGGAAAGGACCTTGAAGGCCTCCTAGTCCCATCCCTGCCACGGGCAGGGACACCTTCCACTCATCCAGGTTGCTCCAAGCCTGGCCTTGGACACTCTTGTTTGCTCCTGGCTGTCCTTACCCCTGGTTCAGAAGAGCATAGTTCTCCACCTCAGAGGGATTGGGAAGGTATTCCAGGACAGCATCCAGCAGTGGCTGCACCCCTTTGTTCTTCAAAGCACTTCCCACGAGGACTGGGGTAAAGGACTTCTTCAGCGTCGCTCTTCTGATGGCGAGCTGGAAAACAGCCCTGGTAACTCTCCTCCTGCACCTTCAGGAGAGATTCCCTGGCTTCCCTGGGCCCTGGAGCAAAGAGCTGCACCCCTCTGGAGGTACCTTTAACTCAGCAGCCGTGGGAATCTTCTCTTCCAAGAACATCTCCCCGAGCTGATCGTCGGCGTTGGCCACGCACTCGATGAGCTCCCGGCGCCGCTCCGCTGCCTCCGCCCGGAACTCGGCCGGGATCTCCTCAACACGAAGGGTCTGCCTGCACACACAGGGACAAATCATCACCCACAGGGCATGGACCACGTGGATCAACCTTTCCACCACTGCCACGACCAGCCTGACCAAGGAAAACTCACTGCTGACATGGATAACGGGAAATATCCCCTGTGAGGATCAGCTTTGGCGCTTTGGCAGGAGAAGGTTCCTTCCCACTCCTGGCAGGAGTTTGAAGGATGCAGGACAACCTGTCCAACAGCCCCACCCACATCTTATCTTCATCCCAGAAGCCACCTGTGCACTGTCAGATCCCGTTATGGAGCAAGTCTCCCTGTTTCTCAGGGTGGGAAGTGTGGCCACCACCCCTTCCCACCACTCAGCTCCTGCTGCAGCCACCCATCCCAGAGCCCACCAGGGGATGGGAATGCTGGAGGCTGAGCTCAGCCCTGGCACAAGCCCCACCCTGAGATTCCCAGAGAGCAGGGTTTCACCTCTGCAGGAGGAATTCCTCGTGCAAAGAGCAGCTCCAGCCAAGAAAGGAGCAAGTTCCACAACTCACCCAAGCTCCCCATCAAAATAAATGGCTTTTTCTTCAATAAGATCTATAATTCCTTTAAAGTTTCCCTCCAGCCCAATTGGAATCTGGACAAAAGCTGCATTGTGTTTCAACTTAGACCTGAAAGAGGGAGAAAACAGAAATTAGTTCAAGAAAAGCATTGTTTCTATGGGTCTCCTCCAGCTGGTCTTTGAACAACCTCCCACAAAATCCCTGGATTTCATCCTTTGGGCAGTGCCAAAAATCTGTCAGTGCTGATAAAAACCACCCAGGTGTTTTCCAGGCAGGGTGGCTCAGCCCTCTGTATCCCAGCAGGAACAGGGAGCAACTCCCCTGGGAAAGAAGGCAGGGGAGACTGGTTTGAGATTGATTATTTGATTAGGGGAGAAAGCTTCATGCATATTAATGAGTTATCTCACAGATATCAAATTAGGAGCAAGGAGGATTTCAGGCATCCAAACCACCCCATCACCTCCCTGCTGGAATTCCAGGGGCGCATGTGCTACCAGGATCCAGGGAAAACCAAAAGGCTGCTTTCCAGGTGGCTCCACATATAATTCCATCAACAAAATAAATATCAAACCCCAGCTCTTGGTCCCTGCAAGTCTTGGCTGACCCCAATATTTGGGGTTTTTGGAGACTTATGGGTCAGATGAAGATCTGACCCCAGGTCAGGCATTCCTCAAACTGCAGGTACAAAGAGAACCCTCTCCAATATTCACATGGCAGGTGAAGAATAGTCAGAATTATTTAACAAATAATTTTAACTGGTAAATACCTGAGTTGCTGCACAGCCCTGGCTGGGTTGGAGCCCATCCTGTCCAGTTTGTTGATGAAGGTCAGGAAGGGCACGTTGTACCTCTTCATCTGCCTGTTCACAGTGATGGTCTGGCACTGGACTCCTCCAACAGCACAGAGGACCAGGATTGCTCCATCCAGGACTCTGAGAGACCTCTCCACTTCAATGGTGAAGTCCACGTGTCCTGAAGGACAATAAAACTCATTAATTGTGATCAATGAGTGCAGAAAGGAGCAACAGCCAACAGAATCAAACCCTCCAGCCACAGAGTCACCCCAGCTTGAGTGGCTGATCATGGAACCATGGAATGGTTTGGGTGGGAAGGAGCTTAAAGCTCATCCAGTCCCACCCCTGCCATGGGCAGGGACACCTTCCACTAGCCCAGGTTGCTCCAAGCCCCATCCAACCTGGCCTTGGACACTTCCAGGGATCCAGGGGCAGCCACAGCTTCTCTGGGCAACCTGTGCCAGGGCCTCACTAGCCCCACAGGGAAGGATTTCTTCCTTCCTGAATTAAATCTCACCTAAATTCCCCCTCTGTCAGTTTGAATCCACGACACATTGTCCTGTCACAACACAAAGATGCACCAATGTCCTCTGTATCCATGAGGAACAGCAACCCCCAGGTGTTCCCAGCTCCCTCACCTGGGGTGTCAATGATGTTGATGTTGGTGTCTCTCCACATGGTGTAAGTGGCTGCAGACTGGATGGTGATGCCCCGCTGTCGCTCCAGCTCCATGGAATCCATCACAGCTCCCACTCCATCCTTACCTTTCACCTTAGGAAAGAAGAAATTAAAAAAAATGTAGTCCCAGGAGTTTACTAAGAACGCACCATCCCTGGAGGTGCCCAAGGAAGGCCTGGCCGTGGCACTCAGTGCTCTGGGCTGGGGGACAAGGTGGGGATGGGGCATGGGGTGGATTCGATGACCTTGGAGGGCTTTTCCAACCTCAGTGATTCTGGGATTCAATCCCCTTGCCCTCCTCTAATTTTTAAGGGGTTACCAGGGGGAGCAGCAGGGGTTTCAGGGCTGCCCCTGGAGCAGCCCTGCAGCCCCACCTCGTGCATCTGCGCGATCCTGCCCGTGTAGAACAGGATCCGCTCCGTCAGCGTCGTCTTCCCGGAGTCGATGTGGGCCGAGATCCCGATGTTGCGGATCCTCTCGTTGGGAAGGACTCCCGAGGAGCAGAGTCTGCAGGAGGTCAGGAGCAGCTGGAGGGCAAGAGGAGGTCGTGGGTTAGTGAGGAGCTGACCCAACACAGCAGCGAGTGACAGGACCAGAGGGAACGGCCTCAGGCTGTGCCAGGGGAGGGTCAGGTTGGACAGCAGGAGGAATTTCTCCCTGGAAATGGTGGTCTGGCACTGGCAGGGGCTGCCCAGGGAGGTTTGGAGTCCCCACCCCAGGAGGTGTCCCAGGAAGGCCTGGATGTGACACTCAGTGCTCTGGGCTGGGGGACAAGGTGGGCATCGGGCACAGGGTGGGCTCGGAGATCCTGGAGGTCTTTTCCCACCATAACTGCTCCTGTGACTCGCTGTGCCGATGGATGAACTTCCAAACCGCTTCCCCACGGCCTCCGCTCGGTGTCAAACCGGTCCCTTAAGGCCGAATGGCCTTTCCAGGTCACCCGGGACCGCCCCCAGCCCGGACGCACCGCGCGGCCCCTCCTCGCCAGCCCCACATCCCAACCCCGCTGACATTCCCGCTCTCCCGTGTCCCCCATCCCTGTGCCCGATCCCACGGGACAGGTCACGCGTGTCCTGCAGCCGCCGGGGGGTTCGGGCGGGCCCGGCCCGGCCCCTTCCCCTCCCGCCCCTCAGCAGCGGGGCCGCCGCCGCCTCCTGAGGGGCCCCTCGGGCGGTACCTGGAGGTGCCGCGGGCGGCCCGGGGCCAGCCCGGCTCTCAACACCCTCAGCATGGCCCCGGTTCCAGCTCCAGCCCGGCCCCAACCCCGGCCCCAATCCCGGGTCACTCCCGCCCCTTCCGGGGCCCCGCGCAGGCGCCGCCCGGGCCGGGACCGGCGGGATCTGCAAGGACGGACCGGGGGAACCGGGAATGGGGGAGGCTCCTCCCGACCCAATCCCGGCGGATTCCCGACCCTGATCCTCCCAGGGAGAGCCCCCGGCCCCGCGCGGGGCATTCCCGGGGCGCGCACGGGGAATTCTCCAAGTGCGCCGTGAAACGGGACAGGGACGGAGCCTGGGATGGAGCCTGGAATGGAGTCTGGGATGGAGTGAAGAACCACCATCCACGGGCGCGCAGCTGGAGTTTAGGGATTGTCAGTCAGTAGCTACAGCTGGAGTTGTTTCTAATTAGTCATTAGAAACGACTGTTAACAATTAGCGATTAGAAACAAGGGCTCTCCGTCCTAAGGGCGTCAGCAGCGCAGGGATAAGGGGAAAGTGAATCCCGTGATGTGCAGGATGGTGTGTGTGGCACAGGGACCCATCTGGAACACGCTGTGAAACGTTAAATATGTTCTCAATATAAAAAAATTCCCCGCTATTGGATAAACCAGGAAGTTTTTCATCCCGGGGAAGGCTCTAGGAGCACCTCTGAAATTGGGAACATCCCGGCCCTCTCCATACTCGAGTCCCACTTCCAGCAGTTTCCTTCTCTCAAATTTTATTTTTTGTGGCAAATTCACGTTTCCCTCTGGAAACTGAGGGGCTTCCAAAGAACCCTGGAGTGGTTTGGGATGGAAGGACCTTCAGGCCCATCCCATTCCACCCCCTGCCATGGCAGGGACTCCTTCCACAGCCCAGCTTTCCCTGGTCGTGTCACACCGGAATATTTCAGAGCCCAAACTAAATAATGCACAAGTCCCTCTGTGGCAGAGAATAAACCAAAGCAACCCCATAAATAATAAATAACTTTATTCAAGAACTGCAGTTTCAGATGATTCTACAGAGAACAGCTTCTCGTGCATTACACTGGGAACAGTCTTGGCATAACAAAGTGATCCATAAGGAATATTCGCCCCTTCCCGCTGTAATTTCCCATCCAAAGGATGTGCTTGTTTTATTATTACATGTCTGTATCATGTTTTTTTTAAATCTCAGACAGAAATCCAAGTTGTCAGGTGAATTTTCCACTGAACAGCAGAGTCTCTCCAACATTCCTGCTCAAGTTCCAACCTGGAAAACTTTGCTGCTGTTAATTACTGGGAAATTTGAGTGACATACCTGGAAAACGCCTCCACAGCCTTATATTGTCTATTAAATTAATTGCAAAAGCCATGTTGTCTTCAGTGGATGGAAAAGGAGCCCCTGGATTGTGCTCTAAGGGGTGTCAAAGCATCCCCTGACTCCCCCTTGCCTTCACTGCTCATTAAATGGTTGAATAACCCCAATTAATGCCACTAATAATTGATCACATGAACTTATTGCCACTAATATTTGCTCTAAGAACAGGAAGAGACCACTGCAAGAAACAACAAGAAATTGTCCTTCCCTTTGTCAGAGCTCAACAAAAGTGCTGGTGATTATTTTTCAACATTATTAAAAACATTATTTCATTAAACTTAAATAATCTGGAGAAACTGCAGGAAGATTAAATATGATTTAAAGGCTTTCTGGCCAAACAAATATTACTCTTAACTTACTAATGCTATTTTATCATAAAAACAGTGCTTTTTAAGGCTACACTTAATGTAGTCTTGAATTTACGTAATGTTATTTAATTTACAGAAATTCTTTATGCTACAACATGTGGATAATTCTGTGTGACAAAACAGCACATGGACACCTGGAATACAAGGATTTTCCTGGCTTTTCTAGAACATCAGACTCAAACAACATCATCCAGGGACATCAAATGGAGATTTAGGATCATCACAAAGAACAAACTCAGCTGAGGGGAGACGGTTTCCCGTCTCCAGGGCTCTCCTGGCTCCTTAGGACAGGAGAAATGGTGAAATCATTCCAGTTAAACTCATTTCTCCCACATATTTTTTTCCCATTAATAACTTATATATATATATATATATTAATAACTAATAAGTGCCAGCTGAGTTTCTTAGGACACATGGGGTGATTAAAAGCTACTACAGACAATCCTCAACAGCGATGGGCCAACTCCAAACTACACACACAGAGCATCAGAGGTACAAAACGGACACTTCAGGAGCAGAAAATGAGGTGCAAGCCCAGCTTATGAACTTAAAAATGATAAAGTATTGCTATTTTAATATCTCACTTTTCTTCATGTTAAAACAAGGTGAATGGGGGGGATTCTGTAAGAATTTCCAGTGTGATTTTAAAGAGATATATATATATATATATATAGTGGCTCTAATGTATTCCAATTCCAAGTATCACCTAAAAATCATTTCAGCCACACAAACTGAAGAGAATTTATTTCCTGTGCAACTTATAGAGTGGGGAAAAGTAGCTGCACTGCCAGGCTTGATAAAGTCTGAGACTGGTGCAGTTGTAGCAGAAAAACTTCACCAATCAATGCTTTTTTTTAACAGAATTGGTGACAATCCATAAAGTGCTTTTAGGCAGAAAGTTGGTGGGTTTTTAGTTCACTGAAAGGAGAGGGTTTAACTGAGGAGCTGAAGGTTGAGGAACATCCAGGAGGAGCAAAGGCACAACACAAACAGAGCTTGGTCACATATCCCGTGTATTTGTCTGGACATGAGCACCATAAACTCCATCCCGGGGGAATGGGGCCACTTATTTCCTGCTGCTTCTGTTGAGGGGGACGTGTGTTCCTCTCACACTGAGAGACTCCAAGGAATCTTTGGGCACCCTGGAACCTCCAGTTCCAAGTAGCTTCTCTCTGCAAAAAACAACAATAACAACAATCACAATCACCACGGGAAAAGGAGGGATAAAACCTGCTGTTCCTCCTCAGGGTGACAAGAATTGGCTGTTCATGAACACATTTGCTGCAGAATTGGATTTTCCTTGTGCTGCTGGAATTTCCTTATTCAGGAAATTATTCCTACCTTATATAGGTCTATATTAGATATATTATTATTATATATATTACATTTTCCTACCTTATATAGGTCTATATTAGATATATTATTATTATATATATTATATATTCCTGCCTTATATAGGTAGGAAACTGTTTTTACCTTTTTGATCCATTCTCCTTGTAATTGATACTTCTGGATTTTGGAGCATCTAAAGAGCTTCTAGTTCTGGATGGCCTGAACTTCATGACCTCCTTCTGCCACTCCTCATCAAAGCTCTCGGCCTCATCTGGAACACAGATAAATTTACAGTTTATTTTTAATAAAGACAAGAAAATAAACATAATGAATATTGGTGAGTTTGAGTAGTGATTTTTTATTTTGTAGTCCATGATTCTCCACATGGTCTGCAGCTATTTTTTTGGGGAAATGGGATTTGATGTGCAGACTTTCAGTCTGTTTAAAGTCCCTTTTAAGTTGTCTCAAGCTGGAACTCCCACACTGGTGTGTGAAACAGTATAAATTAGAGAACTGCCTAAAAAAGACCTACTTTCATCCAGGTTGATGAATTCTTGGTTCATCTCCTCATCCCCCGTCTTGCAGTTCTTGGATTTTTTGATGACATGAGCCCGATCCTGGAGGTGGTGGCCAATGGCCATTTGTTCCAGGCCACTCTCAGAATCCTTAAGTGCTTTTCTTGTCTCCTTAACCTGTACAAAAAAAAAAAAGGGGAAAATCAGTGTCTTTCCAACCAAAACAGAATTAAACCAGTTCATGGAATCCCAGAAGGTTTGGGTTGGAAGGGACCTTGAAGTTCATCTCATTCCACCCCTGCCATGGGCAGGGACACCTTCCACTATCCCAGGTTGCTCCAAGCCCCGTCCAACCTGGCCTTGGACACTTCCAGGGATCCAGGGGCAGCCACAGCTTCTCTGGGCAACCTGTGCCAGGGCCTCCCCACCCTCCCAGCCAAGAATTCCTTCCCAATATCTCACCTAACCCTGCCCTCTGGAACCCATTCCCTGTGTCCTGTCACTCCAGACCCTTGTGAAGTTATTTCCTCCCCCAGATGTTTTATACCTTTCCTTTATAAAAGACAGGTTTCACAGGCTTTTCCAATTATCCCATTTACTGTGTTGGCTGAAAATGCACCAACAAAACACAAATCAAGTCTATTTTCTTTTTGCCAATGGAAGATTAACCCCCACCTTAACTGGACATTAATTATTGGGGAGGGGGGGAAAACCCCCCAGTCTAAATTTACTACACAGCCAAGTCTTCAACATTCTCCTTGACAACAGAACAGGCAACACCCAATGGCAAAATTCCCAGTGTGAGGAACAACTAATTATTAGGTTGTGGTGTTGACTGGCCTGAAACCCAGGCAACCACTTATCCTGCTGTCCATGGGGTATTATTAGAGCCACTGTGATGAGTGAGTGTGTGCAGGAGCTGGCACAGCCCCAGGGCTGCCCCTTTAGGGAGCAGGTCTAGGCTTTCAGGGCCCTGCTCCAGGGCTCAGATTCCAAGGACTGGGCAGAATTAGACACAACAGCTGCAGGGAAGTGGCTGGAAGGGCAGCTCCAGCTTGGGGTTATGTAATGCCTGAGCAAAGGGGGCATCCAAAGGCAGGGCTGGCAGAAATAGATGCCTCTCCTGGAGTTTAAATGGGCAGGAAAAGGATTAATTATAGCAAAGGGAAAAGACATCAGAGGCTGCCTTGGAGAATCAGCTGTTCTGGCAGTGTTTTTCCAGTTTTGGATAAACATATAATTTATTTAGGTTCTATTTAAAGCATATAAATTACAAGGAGGAAAAGAGTCCTTTAAGAAGCCTTTAATACAAAGCAGTGTTTGAGAGACATGTATTTTCCTCATTTTCTACATTTTCTTTGTGTTGCTGGGGGGGGGGTTGGGTTCTGCTCCCAGGGAACAAGGGACAGGAGGAGAGGGAACGGCCTCAGGCTGTGCCAGGGGAGGGTCAGGTGGGACATCAGGAGAATTTCTCCATGGAAAGGGTGGTCAGGCACTGGTTTGGAGGTGTCCCAGGAAGGCCTGGCCGTGGCACTCAGTGCTCTGGGCTGGGGGACAAGGTGGGGATGGGGCACAGGGTGGATCCATGGGCTGGGAGGGCTTTTCCAACCTCAGGGATTCTGGGAATTACAAGAGTAACTCTCTGCAGTGAAAAGAACTTTGAGCAAAGCGTGGTTTGGTGTGGCTGAACCTCAATCCTGGTAAGTGCACCCCACCTTTAGCTGGATGCCAGGAATACTTACACCTCCCGGGGCCGTGCGAGTCTGGGCCGAGGCTTGGAAAACCTTTGGAGGTTCATCCCCCACTTTGGAATAAGTCATCATGGAGGAGGAGCTGAACGTGTGTCCATCGGGGTTCATGGACAGGTCATCCTACACAGCAAGAGAAACTCATCAACAAAAGTGAAATCTGGTGGGTAACAGGTATTTCCTACTATTTTATTGTGATTAAATGAACCCTCCTGGCACCACAGATGGGGCCTGGTGGGCAACACTCTCAATTTTATTTTCAAAGACTAAAGAAAAATTATAACCACAATATAGTCTGGGCAAAAAATATAAATTCTCACTGTCTCCTTGAGATCAGTAACATTTTTCTGAGTGATATTTCAAATAACTGTCATTCTTCAACAGTTAATTTTAGAACCAATTTTAGAAGAACTTACAAATTTCCTGTGCATTTCCAGCATATTGTTCCTCATGTTTGACATCATCCTGTCCATGGCAGAAAATGGATCCCCAAAATCTGCGTCCTGATAAAAAGATATTACAATTAAAACACACTCTTGTGACTCTTCCAGTCCTGAAGCTGTTTTTTTACATGCATTTTTAATGCAACTCAGAGCATCAGAAAGGTTTTCAGACTGCAATTCACACACAGAGACAAGCCAAAATGCATCTTTTCCAAGGAAAACTGAAGGTAGCACGGAAGCCTGGTTGTTAAGTTGGAGATATTGGGAAGATGGAAGTGGAAGATTGGACACTCAGATGTCAAACTGGCCACAATAGGAGTTTATTTTACAAAAGTTTTCATGTACCTTCCAACCTCATCAGGTTCTGCTGTAAAAGTACCGTGTGACCCTTCCTGCTTTAAACTGAAATAAATTCATTTCAAAGTTTAAAAATTGAACCTGCAGCTTAAGCCCCAAACTAAGTAAAATTCAGGCACAGAAAATCTTCAGCTCGTTTCTTGAGTCCAAGAATTTGGAATCCGTAAGGGCTCTGAATTATGGGCAGATTATAGGTATTTTACAGGATATTCTAGACCCCCAAAATAGAGCAGAACAACACTCCAAGGCCAGTTGCAGTGGAACTTTTGCCTCAGCTGGGACCAGGGCTCCTGGTTTTGTTGGGATCATCCCCACAAACACACTCAAGCTGCCACAGGCAGCACTCAGAGTCTGGAGTCTCTCCAGGGATCATCCCATCCATATCCAGGGATCAAAACCCAGCATTTTTATTTAGCAAGGGGAAAAACAGTCTTTCCTGAAGGATGTTATTCCCTGTCTCTGAATATTCACCCCCAAAAGCAGGTTGCAAGCACAGAGCCCATGCTTTGGTTCCACACACAGCAAACACCCACTAGCAGGAGTAGCAGCTACTCCTGGGATACTAACCCCTATCCCAAAGCCTGCAAAGGGCATGAGGGAGTAGCTTGTTGCCTGGAAAAAAAAAGGATCAACAGCTTTAATTATTTTACCTGTTATCAGAAATAACTTCTGTAGACAACAAATGACATTAAACACTTCCAGTCAAATCAAACCAGTCACTCAGGAGAACTCGGTAATTAATAATATCAAGTAGTCTCTGGGTATGTAGAAATATTTATACTAATGATATTAGACAGTGAGAGCTGCCACCACATTTAATAAATATTGATAAGGATGTACTAAAAGCACTTAGAGCTGGAGGTTGAGAAACATTTGCACACCACAAAACCCTTCGTAATGTGATTTAAAAGAGCTCCAGACATGGCCTGAAATGCTCCACTCCAGCTGTGCAACCACTGAAAGCTGATTAAAATCAACAAATCAACACCTCTGCCCCACTGCCAGTGAGCATCCCTGTAGGACAGGGCAGGGAGATCCTGGGAAACACTGGGATATTTCCAGGAAACTACAATGGGAGGGTCAGAGAAAGGCCTGCCCAAAGCCAGGCTGGGCACACAGAAGGACCAAACCCTTCACAGGAACTGTAACTACAAAAGGAAGGAATTATCCAGTTCTGGAATATCTTCAGGAACTCTTCAGGTTTCTGGCAGTACACATCAGGCAGAACTGCAAAGAATAATCTATTTTTTCTATGTATATCAAGTGCAAAAGGAGATCCTCTCAAATAAGTTGTTAGCCATAAAAAGTTTATAAACTTTGTTTTATAATACACACTGAAAGCTGTAAAATAGTTACCTAATATACAGGACAATCAAATAACTCAACAAACCTAAATGAGAGTATCTCTTAAGATATTCACTCCATTCCTCCTCCTTCCCTAAAAACTGACACTGCAAACCTGCTGGTTTCAAATCTGAATGCTTTAGTGACACACATGGCAGGTTTTGCAACTAATTTAGTTTCTTTTAAAGCAGTTTTAGGCCTGCTACAGTTTGATTAAACATAAAATTACGACACTAGTAATCAGTGGGGGTAATTTGAAACAAGTGTATTTTACATGGCAGTAAGGGTTCAGCCTTTTCCTACATAAAAATCTAATTTTGAGTGTTTAAATCACTTGTGGAGCAAACGATGAGACTCATCAGTGCTGAGTCTCGTGTGACATCTGCCAAGTCTTTGGTGAAACACGAGGGACATCAAAAGATCCTGGAGAGATTTTGGCAGGTGTGGAATTCTTTTGTGCTTCTCAAACTCTCACAGCGCTCCTGGACCTTTAACTTCCTGCTGCAACCAAAGGAAAGGTTTGCTGGGGCTCACATTGTGGCCCTGCTCCTGCAGGGAGGGGTCAATCTCCTAAGCTTTAAAGTCAGGTTTGACATTTCCTTTACTAAAGGAAAAAATCCGGGTTTAGGCACCTGCTGATCCAAAGCCTAAGGATCAGCAGAGCAAAGCTCTGCCCTAATTAGATCCAGCAGCTTCTATATTTGAAGGGACTGGCAGTGGATGAGGAGGGGCAGGAATCTCACAGCTCCCCCCTGGATGTGCAGGTGACAGACTGGGTTTGAGCCCTGCTTTACTGAGCTCAGACCAACCACCCAAACCTGGCCCGGAGCCACGAGCCTTCATCATGTCCCTTTGTCTTCCAACGGTTTTTAAACTCCAGTGGGGTCCATTCAGCAGGAGATTTGCAGCTGCTAAATATGTAGAGGGAAAGGAACCACCTCCCAGTGTATCTCCTCTCTAAATACAGCACTGGGATAAGGCTGAGCTCCAGCAGGGCAGCAGAGAACCGTCCTGAGTGCCCAGAGTTGAAAAGATACTTTATTTCAAACACAGGTCACTGCCAATGTTTCAGGTCAGTTGGCAATATCCAGAAATACTAAATGTTGTATCAATTTCCCTGAGCTTTAATTGTTACAGGCTTGGATCCAGAGCAAACATTAAGAATCAGCCCAAAGAGGGAGTGTGAAGCCTTTATTCACTGCTGCAAAGGTGAAACTGTGTTTAAAATCTCTACTTAAGGGGTGAAACACAGGGGTGTGCCAAACATAAATAACTCCGGGCAGGACACTGAAATGCACAGGGAAGGCATAAAGATACCAGGGAATGGTTTGGGTTGGAAGGCATGGACAGGGACACCTTCCCCTAGACCAGGTTGCTCCAACCTGGCCTTGGACACTTCCAGGGATGGCAAGAGCCATACCCAGGTACCCTCTTAAGTAAAGTTAACATAAAAAGGGAATAAGTGTTCAGGGAAGTCTCTGTCCTTGGACATCTTTAATGCCTTTATGGAGCAGAAACATTTCCTACATCATCTTTACTAAACCAAGCATGAAATGTTTGGTTTGTCCATGGAATCTCTGTGTGTGTGACTGAGCAGGGAATACCCAGAGCTGAGCTCAGCCTGGCAGGGATGAGAGCCCAAGAGAGGAGTTATTCCCATGAAACAGCGGCACCAAGGTTCCCAGGGCCGTGTTTCCCAGGAAATGCCCGTTCCCTGGGCAATGGGACACGTTCCCAGGGCCGAGCCAGGTGTGTTTCCCAGGAAATGCCTGTTCCCTGGGCAGTGGGACACGTTGGGACACGTTGGGACACGTTGGGACACGTTGGGACCCGTTGGGACACGTTGGGACCCGTTGGGACACGTACCCTGCGGTTCCCGCGCGGTGCCAGCCGCGAGTCCGGGCGCGCTCTCCGCTCCAGTGCTCGCTCCCCTCTGTCCCTGCCCTCTGGAAGGCTCGGGAATGGCTCCCTCCCGAAGGGCTCCGAGAAGCTCCTCATCATCTGCCTCATGTGCTCATGGTGGGCAGCAAAGGGATCCCTGGAAAACACATTCCACAGGGTGACTCACTGGGGTTCATTCTGAGCTACATCCAATGGCTCTGAAAGCTTTCAAACTCCATTTTTCAATTGTTCCACGTGGTTCTTTATGCAAAAATCTTTATTTTCATAGACCCAAGTGGGCAAGCTCTGGTTCCTAATGAACTCTCTTGTTTCTCACTCTCAACATCTATTACTTTTTCCTTGTCTTTTCCAGAAATACTCCATCCTTCCCAGCCATCTTCCACTCCAGCTTATGTTTATTCTCTGCCAGGAACTAAAAACTCACCTATGTTTAATTTATCTCTGTTTCCACCTCCAACACCTGATATTAAAAGAATTTATTTTTGATTTTCCCCCTTTCATCTTCCAAAGCCTGGCACAGTCCTACTCACTGAACTCCTCATGTCCCACTGGATTCCCCCTCCTCACCCCTCAAATTTACTCTGCTGCCAGCTCCCATCCTGCTTTTTCTCCTCCTTGTCCCAGATGCTTGAAAATCCACATTATCCTCTAAATTCAGGCCAGCTCCATCTCCACTGTTGCACCTTTGCCTTCCCTCTCCACAAATCACGTTCCCACATCCCTTTTCTCTGCTGAGGAACAAAGATTCCCACTGACTTTTTGTGTTCCTGTGGGTTTCTCCCCTTCTCCTCTCCCAAAAACCCCACTGGCATTCCCAAAGTTTGACTTGCAGGGAAACTGTTGCTCAACTTTCTTAATTTTCTGCATTTTCTAATTTGGACAAGAATTAAATATTTCTAGTTGAGGCCAAAAGAGGATCAAACCAGGATTTTTTCAGGAGCACAACAGATGAGCAGCTGTGGCTTGAGGTCCAAACTCCAAATTAATACTTCCCATACAAAACCATGGATTATTTCCTCCCTCCATCTAATTTTCCTCTTTGCCATTCCACTGAAAGCCACTCTATTAACATGAACAGTCACTTCCCAGGTATGTTTATTTAGACTTAACAGCACCTCGTCCTCCCTCCTCTCAACCCCTGGCACTCCCCACACCCTCATCTCTCCAGGACACCACAACCTTTCCCGGGATATCTCCTGAGGAAAAGCTTCAGGCTGTCCCTCCAACTCCTTTCCATGCCCATTATCTCCTGGACAGCCTTGCTGCTCCCCAGCCCTTATCTCCAGCCCCCAGTTTCCACCTCACGTGCCCAGTTTGATCCTGTGCCAAAGCTGCATTTAATTACTTTTTTTTTTCCCCTCTAAGTGATAAAAACATGACGCAGGATTAATTTCAAACAAGAATTTTCATGCAAAAATATCCCTTTAAGCTACACCCAAATTTAAAATGCTCCCAGTGCAAGGAGACCTTTAGAGTTTAAAGCATTTTAGTGCTGTCCTGGAGCAGCCCCTGCCCCGACTCCCAGCTTTGGCTCCAGCCCTGCCATGATAAGGAGCTGTTCCCACACTTCAGGATGAAGAACAGATGGAAAAAGTGGAGGCACGAGCCAAGGGGAGGGAAGAACACAAACACCTCCCCAGGACCTGCACAATTCCATCAGATCTCCAACTTCAGATAGTTTGGTCATCAAACACAAATAAATAGGAACTGTGTTCCAGCAGGAACTGATCCACAGCAGGATTCTCCCCAGCCCCTTCCAGTTCAAAGGCAGGACACTCACAAACTACCCACAACACAGGAGCAATAAGAATTTTGCCCATCAACTTTATGCCCTTCACATGTTACAAACTACATTATTTTTAAAATTAAATTCTGGATGGAGACCAACAATGTATACATTTGTTGTTCCACTACTCTGCAGTAAAGAAATCTTGTCTACTGCATATTAACCTGACCTTCACCTGACAGTCAGGTGTTTGCAGGGGTTAATAAAGGGGACAGCTCCAAAGTTTAAGGATCTATTTTCCAGCTAAAACCTTTCAGGGTGTTATAGTGAAAGTACAGTTTTACTCCTTACTGGAGGGTGTGAAAAATCAGTGTCTTAAAACAATAAATTCCTTTTATTCTTCTTGAAAAGTGTATTTTGTCTTAGATATATTTCCTGTTGTTAGATATATTTCTCATTACTAGATATATTTCTCAGATCTGTTTTTATGAGATAATACATTAGATATAAACATTAGATATCCTTTCCCCCCTCAGGACGTTCTGGGAGGCTGCAGTTGCAGATCCCCTCTGGAGATAACAGCTGGCACAACACCACAAAAGCTGTGCTTTGGTGCATTAAAAGCACAGGCCAAGTGCTCTTGGCAGGGAAGACACAGGTCCTGCACCTGCCCAGGCTTCCAGGGCTGGATCCAGCTGGACACCTTTGGTGAGTGACTGGTGCTTCCCTGGGACAGCTGCTCACACTGAACCCAGGCACTATTTCCAGTTCAGCATCAAAATCTCTCCTTATGAGGCAACACAAGCTCATTATTACACTATTTTGGAGATAAGATTATCTCAGTAATAAGCTCATTTCTTAACGATATGCAAAACAGATTTACAAGGATAGAGCCAAGAAAACGAGTCTCAATATCCACCTCATCTCTTTCACACACACTCCCTTCCTCCACCTCCTGCAATCTTCTTTCCCTACCTCAGTGGCTACAAAAACAATAAATAAAATACATAAATAAGAAGAAAGCCACGGATATTTCAAACAGGACTTAATTTCCATTATTACTTTAATTGCATGCACAGGGAAGTTTCCTGCAGGGAACTCAGGAGCTGTTGTAACAGTAGGAATATTCCTGGAAACCAAGTGCACTAATCCCTGCAGCAGAGCTTTGGGAACTCTCCCACTGCTGGGAATGTGCTGGAGCTCAGCAGTGGGTTGTCCTTTGAGCAGCCTCAGCCACAACACCCCGTAACCAGGAGATCAGACAACAAACCCACAGCACAGGGCCCCTTCCTCATCCACCCCCCGGCCTCACCCCTGATCTTGGCTGTAATTAAATCCCTTATAGTTTTTCTAAAGATTAACAACAATTGCTGAGGCTCCTCAGAGTTCTCTGATGCCATTTTCACCTGCTATTATAAGATTAGATTCTGACTAAAGACACAACACGGGGCCAGAGCAGGTAACTCAGCAGTTTGGGCTGAGGGCAGGAGGACTTGCACAACTCGCTACTCAGATTTAGATTCCAGTGGCAAAAGAAGATTCCCACAGGGAATCAACTGATCTCAGACTTGAATACACAGACATGACCCACCACTGTGCTCATGGTGTAGAAATAGAATCACAAGTTTGGGTTGAAAGGGAACTCAAAGCCCATCCAGTGCCACCCCCTGCCATGGGCAGGGACACCTTCCACTAGCCCAGGTTGCTCCAAGCCCCATCCAACTTGGCCTTGGACACTTCCAGGGATCCAGGGGCAGCCACAGCTTCTCTGGGCAAAACCTGTGCCAGGGCCTCCCCACCCTCCCAGGGAATAAGAACTAAAAAAACCAATCTGCTGAGCAGAAGCACCAACATCCCTTCGAGAAACAGCACAAGGAGACAGTTTGTCCTCAGTGCTCTCATGCACAGGTTTGCAAAGTCTTAACTGAAGAACACCGGGTGTTGCCTGTAGTGCTGGCACTGACAAGAGCCGAGAGACAGCTAAACAAATAAATAAATCAATCCGGAAAAGCTACAACACTCAGCCTCTGTGTTCAGGAAAAAAAAAGGACAAAACACAATCAAGAGACTCCGTCCAAGGGAGGTGACGATTCCCCCTCAGCCGGTGCCACCACGAGAGGGGGGTTCAGCCCTTCCCTGCCGGGAGGGGAGGCACAGACCTGGCTCTGCTGTTGGACATCGCTGACAGCCTTCAACCCCCTGCTCGGCTCCGGGGGGACTCCGGGCGGTGCCGGGTGCGAACACAGCGGCGGTTAAACCGCACCGAGCCCGTCCTTCAACCGGCACCGAGCCCTGGAACCCGCACGGACACCGTCCCTCAACCACCGACCCCTCTGACCCGCACAGACACCGTCCTTCAACCGGCACCGAGCCCTGGAACCCGCACAGATACCGTCCCTCAACCACCGACCCCTCTGACCCGCACCGACCCCGCTTCACCGCCGGCCGCCCCTTTACAGCCCCCGACCAGCCCCTCATAATCCCCCCCCGCCTCAGAGCCACCACCACAGGCGATCCCTTAATCCCCATCGCCTCAGACCCATCCCAGCCGCCTCTTTACAGCCCTGGACCGGCCCTTCGCAGCCCCACGACTGCCTCCGACCCACCACCCCTGACGGCCCCCGGAGCTCCCTGTCACCTCACACGCACCCCAACCGGCCCTTTACAGCCCCAAACTGGCTCCCCTGGGAGCGCCGGTCCCCGCCCGCCCCTCACCTGAAGAAGGGATCCTCCTCGAAGCACCTGCCGAGCCCCCCGAACATGGCGGCGATCTGGGCGGTCTGGACGCTCTGCGCGCCCCCGGCCCCGCGCGGCCCCTCCTCACCGCGCCGCGGGCCGCCCCGCCCACCACGTGACCTCCCTCCGCGAGCGCTCCCATTGGCCGCCGCGCCTCCGGGGGGCGGGGCTTCTCCCGCGCGCCGCCGTTGCCGTGGCAACCGCGGGGCCGCCGCTCCGGGAGCGTTCCCGGGATCCGGGAATTGCGGGAACCGGGAACGGGGAATGCGGGAATCGGGGCCGCGCCGCGCCTCGGGATGTCCCTCCTGAAGCCCCGCTCTGCCCCGTGAGGCCGCGGAGGGCGGCCCGGCCCGGCCCGGCCTGGCTTGGGGAAGAACGGGGGAGCGCAGGCCCGGCCTCAGCCCGTTCCTGAACAATTTTAAAAATAATTCTGTTTTTTCCAGTAGATGGCAGTAAAATAATAAAGCTGCGGCCCCTCTGGCAGGAAAATAAAAGCTGCGGCCCCCTGGAAACACGCGTTGGCCTCAGCGCGACTGGAAAGCATCAGGAGCCTGCCCTGGAATATCCATAAACAGCTATTCCAGGGAAACACGGCGAGCAGGGAGGGAGGGGAATATTGGTGCCAGGGTTACCTGACACTGCACTGCCCAGGCAGATCCTGTTTCCAAGGCTTTGTGCTGGTTCACTCTCTGTTCCTTTGGGAGGGGGAAGGATGGGGATCACAGTCCAACAGGGAAAAGGAATCTTGGGCTCCCAGGGAAAGGAAAAATCCCTCAGCAAACCCACGGCGTGGTTGTCAAAGGGAGGTTTCAGTGAAAGAAGGACCTGGGAAGTCTTTTCCAACCTTAATTGAATCATTAAGGCTGGAAAAGACCCTTAAGATCATCCGAGTCCAGCCATGACTTGATTTTAAATACAATATTCTGTGATGGTCTCTGATTCCAAATACATGGAAGTCCTGGAGAGCAGAGGTTGGGATCATTTAGAGGTGTGGATAAGAACTGTGGGCACATATAAACCTCGTTCTGAAGGAAAACAGCCTCAAAGAACCAGAGGTAAAGGAATCTCACCTTCATTCTTCATAAAATGGGAGGATTGTGGATAAAAATCTTTATGTGCTTGGAAGTGTCCCAGAGCTCTGAGCCTGGGGGTTGTTCCCTCTGTTCCCTCCTCTCCTCACATCTCTTTCAATATCCCAGTTTTTAAGGGAAAGATCATGGACTCACAGAATTATTTGGGTTGGAAAGACCTTAAGGCCCATCCAGTGCCACCCCCTGCCAAGGGCAGAGACACCTTCCTGAGGTGCACCGAGGAGGAGAGATCAGGGAATCAGCTCAGGGAAGGGAATTCTGCTGCTTCTTGGCTTTTTATAACCAAATCTCGTGCCAGTTATGATGTTTTTATTGTCCAGAGACAGAATTCAGCTTTGTTTCAAGCCACACACAATATTACAAATACATATATATAAAAATATATAGAATATATAATATCAACCTCTTCACTGCAGTTATTCAATCCACAGATTGAACAATTGGCAGGGGGTGGGACTGGATGGTCTTTAAGGTCCCTTCCAACCCAACCCATTCCATGATTCTCTACCTTTGCAGTTAATTTGACTATTTTTTTGTTGCAAATTCTTGCCATCTTATTTCAGGACTAGTACAAGTTGCTGGTCTGGGTGACTGTGAACTGAAGAGATATTGAAATAAAATATTAATATAAATGTTATTACACACCTACCTCCAGTTGTTTGCAGCAGAATGATGCTTTTATCTGACATTTACCATCAGTTTATAACAAGCTGCCTTTGCAGAAGCCTCTGCACTGGGCTGATGCCACGAATGGAATTAAATCAGCTCTGGAACAGCACTGCCCAAAGGCCTCTCCCACTAAAAACACACTTAAACCTCTGGGAATTGCCCTCAGCTCTGAGCCCACCTGGGAAGGAACAACTGGCAGGACGAGGGGGCCTCGTTGATGCCAATCCATTGAAAATGTAAATAGGAACTGCTGATCCCTCCAGAAGTGCAGGGATTGAGCACTGATTGTGCTGAGTCCTCTCAGGTTTCCTTCAACCTTGCTGCTGACATTGCTGGGCAGCACATGGACACCCAGCCCAGAGCTGCTCACGGCCCCCCACTGCTCTCATTTTTGTCCAAAATAGCTGGAAAAAGACCTATTTTTAATACCCTGTGCTAGTTCTCAATAGGTGGGCAAACAGAGATATGTTTCCTGCATTGTTGGAAGTCCCAGGCTGCAAAAAACGTAATTAAAAAGCAGTTGTGTAATAAAAGGTTTGTTTGTTTTTAAGGTGAACAATGAAAACTCTTCTTGACAATTCATTCTTGCTCTACCTGTGAAACCAGCCCTAATCTGAGCTGGATGTTGTGAGAACTTGTGCACTGAACACACTTGTTTTGCACAGGACTAATTGAAACCTGTAATTGATAATATCTGCTGAAGCAGCAAGAGTCATTTTTAGCTTCAGAGGCCAAGAGCCCGAGGCAGGGAAGACCTTTCAGATTAAATCCATTATCTGAACTGTGGGCACAGGTTTTAAACAGGGAATAAAAGTGGCTTCTTGGTAAAAACCAGGCAAACTTGGGTGTGGGTTCCTGTGGAAATGGGCTCCTGGAGGCCCTGGGGAAATCGAGGTGTGTTTTTTTTATCCATTTTTCATTTTTCTTTGTCTGTTTTTTCCAGGCTTGAGGCCGTGGCCAAATTCTGGGCTCAGTTTGGGTGATGTTCCCCATTAACCTGAGGCAGATTTTGCCCCAGCACTGCCTTTCCTGCCTTTCCTCCTGCTGCCAGCAGTTCCTCTTCTCCTTGCAAGAGGAATGCCTCCAAAATACCACCCAGGAGGTCCCTTCTCCTGGTGTCTCTCCAGCTTTGGAGAGGAATCAGCCACTTCCCACAGGAATTGCTGTCCCCTGGACGTGCTGCTGGAGGAAGCACCAAAACAAGTGCCAAGTGACTTTATCCCATTCATTAAAAACTCATAGAGCTGAGGCTGGAGCAGGAGCTTTTTCTCTCCCTTCCAGTGCCAGACAGAAGTTTCCAGGATTTAAGGAAATGATATTTTCTGGTCCCTTGGCCATTGGGCAAAATGAGGGAGCTGCAGTTCTGGATCAGAATTCCCTCTGCTCCACCTGTGCTGCCAAAGGTTTATCAATCCCTAGTTATGCACACAAGGGCAGCAGAGCCCATTTAAACAAATATTAATTCTGGATCAAATCCTGGAATCAATGATCAACTCTCCCCCCAGGGCCAAAACTTGACTGGGTGTGGGTTCTGTTGTTTTTTAAGAATATTTATATGCCTCAGTTTGCACTTTGCTAAACAGAAACATGAAGAAAAGATAGAGGGAAACATCAGAGAATTAGGGCTGATGAAAAGAAATGCTGGTTCTCGTGGTGGAAAATGAAGCTCAGGAATTCAATTGCTCCAAGATGGAATTAAAGCCAAAAACTCAGAAGGTCTCAAAGGACAGATGATTTGAAAAGTAACATCCCAACTAAAAAGATTTAAACTAAAAGTTTATCCTGGATGTCTTGGAGGTGAGTTGGGATGACAATGATGGGTTGTTGGGCTGTTGGGGACATTCCTCACAGAATATCCAGCCTGGATAACTCAGAAACACTGGACACCACAGAGACATGGCAGGTAATCCAAGCTGGCAATTCCTACATTTAGCTTGGCATTTGGTAAACAGATTGGTGGTTTATATTGTACTTTGTCCCCAGTTCCTTCAGCTGCCTCAAAGAAACACATGCAAAAAAATAAAATATCTCATTTTTCTCCGTTGAGGACCTGGAAGACTCCGACCATGATCCCAACAGGAGGATCTCCTGCACTCTGAGGGGTGTTTGTTGCCCTGCCAACAGCATTATTTATTAGTGCTTCCATCATTGATAATGCTCAGACTGGGGTGGGCTGGAGGAAGTTGCTGGGCAGTGAGTTATAAATGGCAGGTTATCACCAGCCTGGAGGAGTTGCTGACAACTCTATAAATACCCGGGGCCACAAAACGTGTTTCTTACCCTTTTTTGGAGCTGCAAGTTCAGGGTCAGGAGTTCCCTCCAGCCAGGAGTCCCTCCTGGGCTCTGCAACAGACTTCTTTTATCAGCTGCACGGACACAGGAGCAGTTTTTAAGGATAATCCCTGATTCTCCACAGGGACACGGGCACGGGAATGTTTCCTATCACCAACTGTTGGGTGGGGAATGGAAAAATTGAGAAGAACAGTGAAATAAATTGCCTTTTTCTCCCAGAAAAAGCAAGAATTGTTCTTCCATGGTTTGCATCTTACCTAAAATATGGTCTCAAGATGCTCCTGAGGAGGTGTTTTATATTTCATCAGAGGCAGAATAAAACCACCGCTGGTCACCAGCGCCAGGTTTGCTCTGATTGCTCCATTTCCCTCATTAGGGTAATTAATTAACCACCTTATAAACCACCCATGTCAGACCTGGGCGCTGAGAGGATGGCTCAGGATTCACACTGGAAAAATCTCCTGGTAATGAGCTAAGGAATATTAATAATATTAATTCTTTCTTTTCTCCTGGTTTCTTCTTTGTGTGTGCAAACCAGTTAATTCCTTACAAATTTGCTTTTTCATTTCCATCTGTATTTATTTTTAGAACAAGGGAACTTTATAATTTAGTCCTGGTAATTACATATTTTAAAATCCAGCCAGCAATACGTGTCCAGCCCTAGAAAGGGTTCTGGCTCCCACCCTCCCAGCCCAGTCCCTGCCTGGCACTTTGCCCACTGAAACACATATCCAGGAATGCAATTTGCAGCTCCAGGTGTTAAACATCCCTGCTGCCTAAAAATAATCCTTGTTGAGGAATTAGACTTGATGATTGCCCAGACAGAAAGGCAGAAATATCCCTGCATTTCTCAGCAGTTGCACCAAATATTTTCCAGAGGTTTTAGCATATTTTATATAAATAATTTGATCACAATCATGGTGGTATTTTTTCCCTATAATTGAGTTTTGCTCTTGGAGGGAACACAAAACACAATCCAAAGGGAAATGGCTCTGGAAAAAGGCCTCCCAGCATGAAGAGTTAAGAGGAACAGAAGGGTTAGGAGGAAATGTTTGGGGCAGGAACCCAAACAGGGATCTCTGGAATGAAGAGAGAACAAGAGAATTATAAATACCAACAAAACTTCAACATGGCAAAATGACCTTTTGTTCCAGATGAATGTGTTCAACAGAGCTCTGAAGTCTGAATCAGATTTAAACAGTCATATCACCAAAATGAATAAGAATTAAGAAGGTAAATTAATTCCTAAGGGAAATCACTGTAGATCTCATTAGTTCAGCAACAAGATACCTTAAAACTTTTAATTAAAGATAATATTTACTGCAAATGAATAAGAGTTGGCAGGTTTCAGCAGAAACCATAATCTCATTTATGCAAAGTTTTCTTCTATTAAGGCAGACATCATTAATCTCACTGGAGATGCCCTCCAGACTGGCAGAGCTGGAGAGGTGATTTCTTCCAGGAGTCTTTTTATCTGCACCAAAGAGCTGTAACAGGAGCAGACACACCATGAGAGGGGCTGAGCAATTAGAGGGGTCTCTGTGCAAACACAGCCCTGACGTATCCCCGGCTCTGGCTCCCGTAATGAGCTCCTTCCCACGGGCCCAGCTCCCCCCAGAGCAGAACAGCAACACCCACTGCAGCTCCCCCTGCTCAGCCCCTGCCCAGGGATCAGTGCTGGGAGACAATTCCCACCTTTTGGGGTCGGTGTAAGATGGAACAGCTGAGGGCAGGGGATGGAAGCGCTGGGAGCAGTTGTTGGGAAGCTCCACTTGCTGCTTCAGTGCTGGAAAAGGTTTCTCTTTACAAGGCTCAGTTCATACAATCCCAGAATGGTTTGGGTTGGAGGGACCTTAAAGCCCATCCCATTCCACCCCCTGCCATGGGCAGGGACACCTTCCACCAGCCCAGGCTGCTCCAAGCCTCGTCCAACCTGGCCTTGGACACTTCCAGGGATCCAGGGGCAGCCACAGCTTCTCTGGGCAACCTGTGCCAGGGCCTCCCCACCCTCACAGCCAGGAATTCCTTCCCAATATCCCATGTAAACCTCCTCTCTGTCACTGGGAAGCCATTCCCTGTGTCCTGTCCCTCCATTCCTTGTCCCCAGTCCCTCTCCAGCTCTCCTGGAGCCCCTTTAGGCCCTGCAAGGGGCTCTCAGGTCTCCCTGGAGCCTTCTCTTCTCCAGGTGAACATTCCCAGCTCTCCCAGCCTGGCTCCAGAGCAGAGGGGCTCCAGCCCTTGGAGCATCTCCGTGGTCACCTCTGGATTTATTCCAGCAGCTCTTTGTGGTGTTGGGGCCGAGGTGCCTGGATGGTGGGAGCAGGGCTGGAAGTGGAGCCCAGCTCTGCTGCTGGCACTGAGCACCCTCCTCCCCTCCAGGGCTGAGCTGCAGATTCTGCTTCTTCCAGAAAGAGGAGGCACTTGGTGTCCCCTCACCCTGGAGTGACAATTCCAGAGTGACTCAGGGTGACTCACTCCCAGGGTCACCTAATCCAGCCCAGCCACTGCTGCTCTTCTTTCCAAAGGAGGAGAGAACAGCCAGGAAAAACAAAGCAGGCAAAGCTGCCCTAAGTCCAAATTCCAAATGGGGACCATTTTAAACCCAGGTTAACAGTATTTTTAGCATTTTTTTATCACTGTTTCGAGCCGAAGAGTCGCCGCAGCCCCGGGTCAGGCGTGGGTGAAGTCCCAGGTTCAAGCCCATCTCTCCTCAGACAGGTTTCTGGAGTTCAAGGATCTCTCCTAAAAATAACTCCCTTCTTGTCAGCTGACAAAAGTGTAACCATGAGAGGGCTGGTTTTGGGTTACTGGTGGACTCTGGGATCATCCAGTCCTGCTCCCATCGGAGTGACTGAAGCAGAAGGAGCAACACTTGATCTCCTGGCTGGGAGTGTTTCCTTAGATACCATTATCTGAGCTGCTGCACCAATAATAATAATAATTATAATCATTTTAAAACTAAGCACAGCTCCTTTGCAAGCAATTATCCCACTAACAAACAGCTGTGGAGCTGCTGGATGAGTCAAGGAAGCAGGAAGGGCCCGTGCTCATTTTCCCTGAGCGTTCCCAACTCCAGCCCAGTGTGATGTTAATCCCGCCGGCTGCTCCCAGGCCCAGGGAAATGAGTTTCCTGATGGAATTCCTGGGGGGAGAGGTCTTTGCTGACTGCCAGGAGTCAGGGCTCCAGTTACAGCATTATCTTTCATCCCTGCACTCTGTTCCCCCAGCCCCAGTTAAGGTAGTTTGGCATCAGCAGGAATTTTGTGTATCAGCCCCGGATGACAAGCCCATGTCACTGCTCCCTGCAGGCTGCAAAACACAGCTCAGATCCTCTGTTTCCCTTGGAAAACTCATGAACAGCTGCTTCTTTCCCTTTTTCAATCAGGAATCTATTCCCTTTCACCAGCAGCACGGAGCAAAGTGGGAAATACAACCAAAAGAAATAAACTTTCTGTAGGGAAGAGCCTTACATGTGAGAAGAGCAGAAGAAATTAAAAGCATAGAAACTAAAAAGCAGGATTATTGTCCAAGATTAAGATTTAGAAGATTAAGACAAGTACCTGTTTCTGTTCAATTGGGATTATTTAAATGCTATTCCCATTTTCTTTCCAGCTCTTGCTCCCAGTTCTCCTCCAGCACGGACTTGCTGGGCAGATTTAGATGTTGATTGATAAGCAATAAATAGTATTTACTACTATTAAATTAATAATACAAACTATTAATATAAAAATATTAATAAATATAATTATTAATAACTTATTAATATAAAACACAATATAAAATATATTTTATATAAAAATATTAAATAAAATATATAAAATATTATAGGAAATATATAAAATATTACTACAATTAAAATCTTATTTACTGACTGGTTTGTAGTATTTTCTAATATTCCACAGGGCTTCAAATAAAAGGAATCATTTTGCATCCAATAAACCCATCAAAATTATCCAACATAATGTGTGGAAACCAGGAATTCACAGCTGTACCTTCCATGGAGATCAAACAGTTTTTATTTACTAAGAAAGAGACATAAGAGGTGATTAGGAAACAGAACAATGACAAATATTTACCATTTGAAAATGCTGAAATGAAACAAGGGGAACAATTTTCCTCCCAGATTTTCCTGCAAATGTCTTGGAACATTTTAATGCAGGATAAAGTAAATCCAACACTTCAAAAAGAAAGTAAAACTGTGTTAGAATGCAAATTTAACACATTTTTCCTTTTACATCAGGAATCTAAAACAAAAACCAAGACAAGCAAAGTACATTTCCAGAACCATCCTCCATTTTTCATCACCACAGGGCTGAGAATCAGGAAAAATAATCCCAAAAAAGAGCCTCACTCCCATGGGAATGCTGAGGTCCATCACTGGGGGGGGACACTCAGTTTACTCCTCCTGATGGGACAGTTCTCTCACAGCTTTGATTGTAGAAATACTTTCACATTTTTATTTGATTTGGTTGATCTCCTGTTTTTAGTTGGATGATGGGCAGATTTTTTGGAAGTTTATTCAGGCTAAATTCAGATCTTTCATTATTTGAAAGTCCCACCTGGACAAAGGAAAGTTCTTGGCCTGGAACACACCAGAAACAGGTGTGTTTGAGACTGATAGAAACTGGTCACTACCTAAATTATGACATTTGTGTCATCTCCCATTTAAAGTTACAGCAGATGGTCAAGGAAATGTGGGATGTTCCTTCCCACCCAGAGTGAGGAACCACGAGCAGGGGGATGAACATCCAGGGAGAAGATTCCCTCAGCCAGGAGCCTGATCCAGGAGCCAAGAGGAGGAAGGAAGAAGGGATAACAATGACCCCCACCTGTCCTGGATCCTCCTGCCTGGATCCTCCATCCTGGCCTGGATCCTCCTCCACCTGCAGGAGATGGATTGGTTTGGGATGGCTCCACTCGGCCTCCGATGTCCCGGGAAATCTGAGCCCATCTTGCCATTTATCTCCCCACTGCTCCCTGGTTAGATAGAATTGTTTGACTGGGAGGTATAAAATTCCATCTCCTGGGGCTGTCAGTTGTTTTGCACCCTCGAGGAATTCCATATAAAACAGGGAATGGCCCTGCTGTGCTGTCACACCACCCACAGCAACACCCTCGAGGAATTCAGGAGAGAGCCCGGACAGAACAGCCCTGTTTGTTCAGGTGAAACACTTACTGCCTGCACAGCTCAGCCTGAGGGTGACAATCCCTCAGGAGAGGAGAACAGAACAATTTAATGCTGGGATTTCTTGGCATTGGTGGAGAACTGGCTCAGGATGTTCCCGGGAGCTGCTCAGGCCACGGGGCTGCCCATGAGCCGTTCCTGCCGCAGGGCCACCAGCCTCTGGAACCACTTCTCCTCAGCTTCTGCCTTCTCAATGAACAGCTGGGGACAGGGGAGAGGAGGGAGAGTTGGCACAACTCAGGAACTCTCTGTTTGTCAGAACCTGTTAGAATTTCTGGGGACTATTTCAGGGAAAAGCTCAGCTGAGCACGGGGGTTAAACACAAAGGGGACATCAAATGGAAGGAGAGACTTCTTATGGAATCACAGGATGGGCTGGCTTGGAAGAGACATTAAAGACCACAATAATTGGAAAGCAAAGGCTCCAATTTCCAATTTCAGAAGAGACATTAAAGATCATCATAACTGGAAAGCAAAGACTCAGTCTCCTGAACCAGCAAGTTCCTCACTGCCCGTGTCCTGCTCCCTGTTCACTGGGTTCATTATACACAACTCACATTCATTTAGTCATTTTTAACTTGCTAACTCTTAGAAAACCTCCATGCAAATCCTTTTATTTCCTGTTAAAGTGCTCACAAAGGAACTTGCTTAAGTTTAGCCACATGATTTAAAATTACCTTAAGTCTGCACTGCATTTAAAGCTTTACAAGTTGACAAAATGGGCAAGTTCTCAAGTCTTCCACCACCAACATCCCCTGAATTCTTATTGAACAGGATCTCGAATTCCTCTGTGTTACATGAGTTATATTTTGTTATAAAATTCATTTGTAAGTCTACAGCTACACCACTGGTGAACTTATTTTGTGCTGGCTGAGGGAAGGAGTGGGATCCTCTTTGTCCCAGTGTCTTCGGAGTATGGATTTCCCAATGGTTGTTGGGTTGTGTGACCCTGCTCTCCTTCAACTACAGGGAAATTTGGGATAAATAGGAGCACACTTACATTTGGATGCGCCAAGGAATTGTCATCCTGGTATTTGATGGCAGTGGGAATGCTGGCAGGGGGAGGCTCCTTCTCAGGAGCTGCTGCCTCAGCGGCTCCCGCTCCGACAGTCACAGGCTCATGTTGGAGCTCAGGAGGTTCTGTCACCTAAAAAGAAACAAACACATAAAATTAAAGCATTTTATCCTCAAATTCCCCAACGTGGCAGGATCTGAACTGAGCATTCAGTTGTCTTCCCTTTGTACATGTGCCCACAAAAGGATCCTCACGGAAATACTTCTCCGTGTGCTTGGTGGAACACACTGGCCATGGACAAAGGTCCAGGATAAGCACATGGAGTGCCAAAAAAGGTCTTGCCCAAGGCAAGGAGAGAGCCTGAAGAACAGGAATGATGGGTTCTTGGGTCACTTTCTGAAGAAGATGCATCAACTTCTTCTGGAGGTTTCTGGAATGGCAAGAAAATGAACGTTCCTGGGGAAACCAACAGTGGTAATTCCAAACACCTCCCTGCCAGGTGGGAAAACTGAACAAAGCCTTGCCTTGCACACTTACAAAGACAACAGCATCCGAGTTCTCTAGAAGATTGGATGGTCAAAATCCTGGGAAAACTGTCAAATCTGGGAAAGCTGAAAACCAAGCTGGTTCTTTTCAGGGAGTAAATGTGGTCTCAAAGTCTGGCTCCAGTTAAGCAGAATTCAAGATATTTCTCCCTTTAATTACAGTGTAAATGTCTGATTACTCAGGGACTTTAATTCTTCTGCTTTACCTCAAACAAGTCTTCAAACCCTCCTGCTTCACAGAATTCTTACACATTTAAATGTGTTCTCTGAATCCACCCCCAACATCGGAGAGGGGTCGCTGGGGTTTGAGGTTGCCACCATCGATGCCCTTTCAGCAATGGGAACTGCCATCATGGCACAGCTTCCTGCTGGCTCTCAGAGGGCTGTGGAGCAGGAAAGGAACGTGGGGATATTGAAAAGGTACCTTTTTGACTTCTTTGCTCGAGCGGAAGGTCTGGGGGACGAAGGCGTCGCTCTCGATAGCTTCGATTTCCTTCACTCGCTTCACTTGGTCCACGAGGGTGGCCTGGTCTGCAAGGGCAGGGGGACATCAGGGGGGACATCAGGGGGCTATAGGGCAATCCTGGCATCAAACCCTGGCCAAGAGGTTCCCTGAGTATAGTTTGGGACGTACCAGGAAAATCCCAAGGTGTGACCCTAAAATACCCTAAAAAACTCCCTGGGTGAAGATAACACCAGGGGACAGCGTTGGCCATTACTGCTCAACCTGGGAGAGCATTCCAGGGGCTGACAGGAATTTGCCAGAGATGTCCTTGTGGGATAACTGGAGAAGAGAAGGCTCTAGGGAGACCTGAGAGCCCTGGGCTCCAGGAGAGCTGGAGAGGGACTGGGGACAAGGGATGGAGGGACGGGACACAGGGAATGGCTTCCCACTGCCAGAGAGGAGGTTTACATGGGATATTGGGAGGGAATTCCTGCCTGGGAGGGTGGGGAGGCCCTGGCACAGGTTGCCCAGAGAAGCTGTGGCTGCCCCTGGATCCCTGGAAGTGTTCAAGGCCAGGTTGGACACTTGGAGCAACCTGGGACAGTGGAAAGTGTCCCTGCCCATGGCAGGGGTGGGGCTGGATGGGCTTTAAGGTCCCTTCCAACCCAAACCATTCCATGATTCCAAGATGCCAATGGCTGCACTGGAGCAAAGCCCAGAAGTACAATTTAATCCTGTTTATTTTCAATTTAGCAGGAATTAAGCTTGTGTTTAAAAGTTGCCTGGCTGCTGAAGTCTTCTCCTTTAAAACACATTCCTAAGGATTTTTTGGCATAAACCAAATCTACCAATGCCCTGCTGGGGAGAGGGAGTCAGAATCCATGGATTTTTCGGGCCCACCTGGTCTGAGGGGAAATAAAGGGACCGTGATTAAAGCCAGGGATCAGAAAGGCAGGGAAAGGAGATTTAAAATCAGCTGCTCAGCTCTGATTTCCCAAAATCCCAGCCGGTTCCAGGATCTCACATGGATCCCACACAAACTGATGGGAATGACAAATTAGGGGGCAAAAATCCCTGAATGCTCCCAATGACATCAGGGACATTAAGGGGGTAAATGGAGTGAGGAAGCAGAGCCCATTAGTGCAGGACTTGTTTGACAAACACATTATGGGGAGATAAAACGACTTCCAGATGTTGTTTGTCAGATGTCAGTAGGAAGGAGATGTATTTCATAGGAAAATCAAAAATAATGGAGTCAGAAAGCTAAGAGGCCTCAGACAAAAAAAAATCAATACTAACTCACTGCACGGAGTCTTTTCACCCTGTTAGAGGGGAAAAAAAAAGGAATTAAATCTTGGATTAGGGCTTGTTTGGGCTATTTTTTATCAAAAGGGGGACAATTTCCATCCCTGTCACCAGCTCCTTCCCAGAGCTCCGTGGCTGAGGGGACCTTTCCCAGTTCTCCCAGTCACAGGTTTAACTGGGAGCTCCATCCTTCAGAGATAATTCAGTATTTTACGCTTCCATATTTATATCTATTTATATCTTCCCATATATATAAATAAACCCATCTTTTATAGCTGCTAATTTCATATTGAATTAGTCTGTATTAGCAAGAACATGAAATGCCACTTTAAAACAAGAAATGTGTATGAATTCTTTAGCTGTCACCCAAAAACATCATACATACAATAATTAAAGACAGCAGAGAAGCAGATAAAAGAAAAAGAATCAGAGAATTTTATGATTCTATAAATCACACAAAAGAAAATTAACTTCCCTGCAAGCTCTGCCTAAAATATTCCTGTTTTTTCCTAATTTTTAAAGACAAAATTTAGCCCACTAAGAGTTTTAAAAGCATTAAATGACCAATAACATCTTGTGGATCACCCATTAAATAAAAATATTCTTTAAATATTTCTTGGGAAGTCTTTAGGTGTAAATTAGTATGGATTTACTGCTCACCCCAAATCCTGACCATGAACATGATGAACATAAAAAAGTTTTCTTTCAAGCAGGTTTAACTCCAGAATCAAAGCAACAACACAATAAACCTCAAATATCCCTCAGAATCTGTTTCTTCCCATTTCACTAATTAGATTTAAGGGGTTAATTTAACTGAGCAAATTAAAATATAACCCATTCTGGGTAAAACGCTTTGAAAGGCAGAAAAAGAAATTGCTGCTTTTTTTTCCTGCTCTTCTGTTTATGAGTTTGAAGGAAACACCAACAGATCCCAGACTAAACAAACAACTGAAGAAGAAAATATTTTCCCTTTGATCCCATTTTATTTGGGATTATTGGAAGTGTATTTTTATCCGACTGCCTTACAGAACTGTTGCAAAAGAACTGTTCCCACACACCCCCTGATTTTTAATTGATCCCAGTTTTACTGAAGCTGCACAAACCGACACATCCAAAGGAAAATCGGAGTTTCCCCTGGACAATTTGCAGTAGGAGAGGCAAACCCATCAGGAATCTCCCTGAAAAAACCCCTCCCTGGCTGTGGGAGGTGTTGGATTCTGCAGGCACCGCGCTGGGATATTTGGATTAAACACAAGGGAAGCACTGGGGGGAGGAGGGAAAATCCCGCAGGACGCTGGGATTCCCTCAGTTGTGTCATCCCTGGACTTTATCAAACTTGGAGTGCTGGTTTTTAGGGATTTTTTCCCCCCTCCAATCTTTTCTCTGAGCAGGAGACAACCAGTGCTGGCTCAGGGGACCCAGAGCCACAGGACTTTGGGAGTCCCCTTTCCCAACTGGAGCCTCAGAGGCCACTCCAGAGGTGACAATTCCAGCACCAGTGGGAACAAAATCCGGAGCAAAACAGCCCAGGAATGTCCTGCTCCCGCAAGCTTTTACCACAACAATCCCCTGTGTCCCCAAATCCCTTCTCCTCCTGTCCCTCCAAGGTCCCTCCAGGCCGCTGTTCCCCCGGGAGCTTCCCGGGATCTCATCCAGCCCATCCCGCTTCCCAGCTGCCGTTAGAGGGAGGCACCTCCACACTCAACGGTGCCTCTGCCGAGCCTTTGGATCCGGGGTTGAGGAGCCTGAGGATGCTCCAAGCTCAGCATCCCTGCCCGGACCCCATCCTGGCGCATCCCGGATTCGGGATTAGCTCCGAACCCACCTCTTCCCTCCCTCAAAGCCTCGGGGCTGCTGCCTTCTTCCCCATCCCGATCCTACACTATTTCCCAGCTGTTGGGATTTCCAGGGAAATCGCTTTTCCCAGCCAAACTCACAGAAACCATAAACACGCTCCAAAAGGAGCTTTTTGCCTGTTATTTGTGTTCTCCCAAACCCATCGGAAGTGCTTTAAAAATACAATTACAAAGTGTTGAAGGAGCAGGTTGTGAGGACTCCAGAACTCATCCCCTACAGGATTTACAGATAAGTTGGAGAAATACAAATTAACAAGGAAAAGTTTGCCCAGGCTTGTTTTAAAATCCTGTCAAAGTGTTGTTTGGTTTTTTTTAAATCCTGTTAATTTTAATTATCATTAAAATAGCATTTTGTGAGTCCTTAGTACTTACAAGAGAGGTACTACAGGGAGTAGTAGAATACTATAAGTTTGCTATTTTATTACATTATAGTGATAATAACCTCATTTTCCAGGATTTTAAAACGGGGCTGGACATTAATGGCTTTTCCTTGAAGAAATGGAAGTACTGGGTATAAAATCCAGCAGAAAACAGGATGGGAAAGTTCAGCCACTGAGCTCTGAATTTATATTTCATTTTAATTATGACCTTTTAATTCCAGAACATTAAATTTCTGCTGCAGCCTTGCATGACCTTCCCCACCTGTGCTCGCTCCCACATCCACGTTTTGAGGGTTTTTTGGGATATTTTTGTGAACATTCCAGGAAGGAGCCACACTCGGCCAACGGAGTGGTGGGAAACAACTCCAAATCCCTGGATATTTCCCACCCCTCAGCTCAGGGAGGGAGATGTGCAGGGCTGGGATGTGGCCACCCCACGTTTGTCACCGGGGCCGATCCCGGAGCTCCCAGCTCCGCGTTTTTCTGGGACACAAAGGCAGGATCTGTAACCCGATGCTCAATTTACCCTTGTCTCGCAGGAGATTTTTCCCCCGCTAATTGATAGAAATTAAGCCATTAATCAAGGCCCCAGCCATCATTCAACCCGGGGAAGATGAATCCAAACTTTCATCATAACCACCTTCCCCATTTTAGTGTTCATTAGCATTAATTTTTAATGCAATTATGCTCTTCTTTTACGCTGAGCTCATAAATTACGGCTCTTTTGTTGCTCGCTGGCCTTGTAAAATCCAAGGTAATGCTTTGTGCTCTGATCTTAAAGGCAATTACTGCCTGCCTCTATCTTTTCCATCTGCCCATCCCAGATAACCCCTGTGTTGTAGGTACAAGCTCACTGGGGCAGACCCGACACGGAACCATTTGTCTCCGTGAAACCCACACCCGGAGCTGCCTGACACGGGCAGGGAGAGGATTCCTGGGATTCTGGGGCACGCCCCGCTGCATCCAGGGATCCCACAGCACAGGAACAACGGGAAAATGGGGATTGTATGTCGGACACGGGGCAAAAAATGGGTGTATTGCAGCAGGAATTGGATGAGCACCCCGAGGCCCTGCAGGACAGCAGGGCTGGAACTTGGAGGCTCTCCAGCTTTTCCATGGATCATTTTGTGTTTACACTCTTCAAAAAGTGCTGCTGGCACATGCCCAGTGCTTATTTTTTCCCCCTGCTGCCTGTTCCAGTGTGTGGTGACACCCACGGAGCCCTTCCATGGGATGCTGCATTCCAGGGATCCCACACAGGGTCAGGAACTTCCAGGCTTTTATTCCCAGTGCATATATTGATCCTCAGGAGCACAGCAGGGGAAAAGCACAGCAGCTACAACCACCTCTGGCTGCCCTCAAACACTGTCTGAGGGGCTCCAGGGAAAATGAAACAGAGATTAGGAAGATATTGGTTGGTTTTCATTATTTTCCTGCTTTTTTTCCTGGGCTGGTCCTTTACTGGGATATGAAACACCACCACTCACAGCAGGTAAATGTCTGTCTAGCACCAAGAAAACATGATACATCCTTAAATTCCCATTT